GGAATTTCGGGGAATTTACGCAAAGTCACAACGCTAAAGGCTGGGCTGAACCAGAGCCTTCTAGTTTCTGGTCCAACGTGCTCCCCCCGACACCGCAGTGTCTCCCTCAAAACTTTGAGATGTTTCGTATTTTCATATAAGGAAGTGTTGCGATGCCTTCATTTAAAAAGATCTGAATATCGAAATTATGAGTGGCTACAAACAAAGTACACAAGCCATAGGCTGTTGGGGAATTCGGTTTCATCCTAACGCACCCACCGTGTGTTTCACCTCCGGCCATCGGTGTGAAGCAACCTTTTGTAACTCAGTGCTTTTCACTCGTAACAATACTGTACAGGGCTCCTCTCACCTACATGACTCCAGAAGGTTAATGTTCATTTTCTTTAAAAAAAAAAAAAAAACAACCAAAAAAAAAACTATTGATTTCAGAGAGAGAAAAAGGGAGACAGAAACATCAATGATGAGAGAGTCATTGATCGGCTACCTCCACGCCCCCGACTGGAGATCGAGCCCGCAACCCGGGCATGTGCCCTGACCGGGAATCGAACCCCTATCGCCTGGATCCCAGGTCGATGTTCACCCGCTGAGCCACGCCCGGCCGGGCGGTTAATGTTCATTTTCCCTGGATGCAGAATCCCTGAATGGGTGGAGAGTACAGGTTCTCTGAGAGTGAGGGCCACAGAAGTGACTGCAGTGAAAAGAAATAGGGTTGGAAGGGCAAGTGGTCAGCCCCGAGGCCGGGCTGGGTCTGCTCTGTGCCTGTAGGTAAGGGCTGAAGTCAGAGAAATGGAATCATGAGATTATATCCCTAAGTCTATACAAAAGCCTTGCTGCTCAATCCCCAATCTTTCTGTGTGTGTGTGTGTGTGTGTGTGTTTCCGTATATGCGGACATATGTGATATTTCCTGCATGATCCCAGTATAAATTTTTCTGTCCTGTTTTGAGTACTAGGGTCAGTAGTATATCAAAATTTTTCAGTTACAAAATATCATCACTGTGTAAATAGTGATCAATATGAGGCCACCTTGATATCACCTCTTACATCTGGTGAGCTCTAGGCTCCCCGAGAAAGGTTTTCTTACCTTGACTCCTTGGGGAAGGAGAGTGGGCTCTGTTAAGCCCTCTGAGAATGGTTCGTTTTACTGGGGCGCCCCCTAGTGTTGCATGAGATCAGATTCACTTTCTAGTTAGAGAAAGATGTAAACCACAGAAGAGAAGTGAGATTTGGAGAAGCAGCAATTTGGGTAATTTTTCCTGTATTTTCTTTTGCATTGAATGGAAGGAAGTGTGTTCCCTAGTATGAATCACCAGACCCTGCCAAGCTTTACCTTCCACCATTTTGCCCTAGGAACATTCAATTTCAACCATTTTGAACAACCCGCTGTTCTACCCAGAAAGCCTTCTACCCCCTTCCCATCCACTTGTCCATTTAAAGACTTTCTACTCCTCCTTCTAAATCAGGGGTAGCATTACCTCCTCCCAAGCTCTTACCCTCTCTAGGATTCTGTTTTCTCATCTGTAAGTAGACTATGTCTAATGTCCTCTCAAAAATCCAGTGATTCTATACGTTATTATTAGTACCCCCTTTAAGGGCCTCCAAATAGTTAATGACAAATCAGTTCAATACTTTAGATATTTCTTTGTCATTCTCATAGAATTGCTTATGAAATGTAAATTCCATTGCATTGAAAATCATTCATCTGCACGTCTGGCATTAAAAAAAAAAAAAAAGAGCTTTTAAAAAACTTGTTAGATTACACGGGGATACATTTAAATTGAGCTAATCTGAGAGAAAATTTTCAGGCCAAAGGGGGAAAAAAGCTGCTTTTTTCTCCATAAATGATGCAAACAAAAGTCCAAATTATAGCCTGAAACTTCATTAAGAAACTGGATTCTAATAGACACAGAGCTGGTCAGCTCACTTTCCAAGTTCCTCTACTTCTGTTTTTCCCAGCAGTAAAAGTGATGAAAATATAAACCTTTAACTGAAATTTGCTAAAGAATTATCACTAAAAGCACTCACATCTATAAATTGCTATGATTAAGGTGATACAAATCTTGGAATAGCCCAGCTTCAATAGCCCTGAGACACACAAATATAATTTACAAATCATGCTTATAAATTTGTAAATTATATTTGTAAAGTGACCTGCTTTTCTGCCAGCTGAAGTAACAGGTAAGACTGGAAGCCTAATACTTTAAATAAATATTCAAAGAGTGTGTATTGTTTTTGGTAACAGAAGCACTCAATTTCACAATTTCTACCCTAGATATTCTTCTAGATATTCTTCTAGAATCTTCTTTCCTCCTTCTAAATAAGGTACTTTGCTAACCCAGAACAGGTTATTTAGATATGTAGATAGTTTATAAATAAGTACAAATTACAAGTATATGTGCAAATTTTATTTCCCCCCATCCCTTCTTAAGAACCAGGAAATTCATAAGCTCAGACACAAAAATGTGCTTCCTTATATTTTGTATTTCTCAAAACCTCCCCGAGTCTATGAATATATGTATAAAGTACACAGTCATAGAATACTGAGCTGGAGGAGATCTTTCTGATCATTTGATCCAACTGCTAACACATGAGAAAATCGAAGCCCAAAGAGGGAAGCGACTTATCTGAGCGGGAAGGTCTATCTTTTTTTTTTCCTGACATCGATTATTTTATATGGCTAAAAATTAAATCGAAAACATAAGGGAAAATTATGACTATTCTCCAAATATCTTTCTCCTACACTAAAAAAAAAATAAAAATCCAACGTAACAAGCCATAGACAGATCACAGCAATATTGTTTTATAAAAGTAGAGGGGTTTTCGCACCATCACCTAGTCTATCCTTCAACCAAAATTCCAAACAATTTTATCAATGAGTTTAGAAAGGCTATACCAGTCCGTCTCCCTTTTTCAACAGCTACTCTACACTCTTCTCTCTGTGTCTCTCAGTCTCTGTCCCTCCCTCCCTCCCTCCCTCTCTCTCATGGGCGCACACACACAGCCACCACCACCATCGGATTGAGTTCCAGGGGTAACACACACCATCTATTTGTGCTACCTTCCCCCCACTAAAGTATATGAGATTAAATGGAAGGGCCCATTGTGCTGCTGTGCATCTTATCCAGTATAAGAAATTATGTTAGCTAAAACAGTCTAGCTAGAAATAAGAAAAAAATTTAAAATTCCTGGCAAGTGAAGAATTTCAAATATCTGTGCCCAAAAAATTCCATCTCCAGAGTATACGAGAGCACATTTCCTGAGCCAGCAGCTCTAAGGTGCCTCCTATGTCTTTGCTTCCATTTCTGTGTCCTGGAAACCAGCACTCAGCTTTCCTTCCAGGCTGGGCCACAGAGCTGCTGGGTGACTTGCCAGCAGGACCCCCCTCCTTCTCAGCACCTCCTGGGTGCTGCTAGTCCCGAGAGGCTCCGCCACCAGCGGGCTGCACACCTCTTTCACCTTCGGCTCCCTCCTGCTCACAGCCTTAGCTGAGTCTCGACTGGGGCCATCTGTCCTGTCTTTTCATCGTCACAGCGTAAGGACATCTGTGACATGGGTGGTTTGAAAAAGCACTCTCAGGGCTCCCAGACGTGGCGCGTGCACTCAGCTGTTCTATTTTTGTGTACTCTGTTTTCTTCTCGGAAGAGCCTGATTCCGGTCTGTGTCTTAGCCACCCTGCCATGGACCCATTGCACCACCCCCGCGCCCCAGGTCGCCTACTCTTATTGTACCCAGAGGGCTCTGCAGAGGGAAGGAAAGGTGTGTCATGATGAGGGGAGAGTGTGGTGCTGTGCCTGCCGCTCCACAGACTTGAGCATGACACAGCTACCCTGCTGGACCCTGGGGACTTGAACCCTCTCTGCAGCACAGCGATCACAACCTCTCTGCCACCAGCCTCTGCACCAAAAAAACCCTGTTTCCGGTGGGCAGAGGCAAGCCCAGGCGTCTGCCAGGACTCCCCTGGTCCCATCCCGGTCTTGTTGGAGATACCCAGTCTCTGACATGTCCATCAGAAATAAAAGTTCCTGTTGCCTAATACTTACCGGTGGCAGACTTTTCTAACCCAAAGCATCCCCAGGGACAGATTTTCTAACCCCAAGCAACCCACTAGGGAAACAAGACTGATCAGACCAGCCTCGACGAGGGAACACGGGCAGGCTGTACATTTATTTTCAGTGGAGTTGCCCGCAGTCAAGAACATCCTTAAAGACCTAATAATGTTTGCAGGTGAGAGCAAGTAAATAAGAAAAAAATCATGAAAAAGGGACCAGAATAAAGAGAAGGGGAAATGCAAGGAATATCTTCATTAGGCGGGGGAATTACTAGGGTGATGCCCACCCACCGCATGCACTGGACACGGCAGAAGGGACCCCGCGATGCCTGGCCGCGTGACTCGGAGAAAGGCCGCGAGGATCGCAGCGGATCAGGCTGCTGCGGGGAAATGTCTGGCCCCGTGCACGTGCGCACATGACCACGCGCCTCTGCCTTGGAAGGGCTATTAGCCATCCGAAGGGACTTGGCACCGCCGCCTTCAGCATTCTTTACAAAGCAGAAGCAAAGGCCCGCGAGAGTCCGTGGGTTTTGCGAACACAGTGGCAAAGTAGAGCTGAGCCCTTTCTTATTTCCTTTTTATATTAATTCCCGGATCAGAGGCTTACTGGCAGAACGGGTAAACCAGGCGCACCAGTGACTCGAAGCTTCGAAGTGACAGCTCCTAAAAGAATACCGGGACTCCTGCATTGCGGAGAAAGAGAAGACTCCAGAAGCAGAGCCCCTGCCCTACCTCCACGGTGCCCCATCACCGCCACTGCTGAGAAAAGGGAAGGAAAAAGGAGACCGGAGGGTGCTTAACCACACTGCACAGCCGCTATGGGGAAAAGGGGGAAAGAAACCCAAAAAGCTCCACAATCTGGTTATCAGATTACCTCCAAGTGACCCTTTGCAGCCTTGGGAGCTGCCGTCCGTGTGACCTGGTGCGAGCAAAAGAGCCGGCGTGCATCTTACCTGAGGAGCGTAGAAGTGCAAGCAGATGTAGGTGAGACACAGGAGCAGTCCCAGCCCCTGGACCACGGAGGCCACCAGCAGCAGCTTGTTCGCGGGGAATCGCAGCCCTGGTGTGTTTCTCACACGCTCACCCAGGGCTTGGCCCCCTTCCATCTTCACAGTCTGGAGGCAGGAAAGGAAATCCGAGGGAGAGCTGGCCTCTCCCCTCCCAAGAAGGGGGTGAAGACCCAGGAGCATCAATCGGCCAGTCCTCGGAGGTACCAGGACCAGAGATAAGAGGCGATTGAAAGAGCAGAGCGGACTCTCTCAGTTTTAATGCTGTCGCTTTGCAGGCAGGCGGGGAACTTCTTTGTGACTAATCTGAATTTCCCCTTTACTTTCTTTCTTTTTCTCTCTTCTCTGGGCTAACAGGGAGTTGTTTTTGTGGCATTCCAGTTCTGATTTGAGTGACTGTGAAATGACAGTCATAAAAGTGTGCTATTTTCTTAATTTCTCACTGCACCAGTAACCAAATTGTGGGTCACTTATAAAGATAAAAATTATCACCCATTGATATGGGAGTTTATCTACCCCTCCCCCGAGGTGTCTTAACTCACAGAAGAGCTTTAAGGAAAATGCTGAAACTAAGCATTGAACCCTTTCTACAGATTTTCTGGGGAAACACACCCACAAATCATTTTCGAAGTGGGAAAAAAGAGAAAAGAAAACTGGATGGTGGATCACGTAGAAATATAGGAGTGAGATCTCCTCAATTTATTCCATTGCAGTGTAATAAATAAACTAGTGTCTACTGAGCTTCTACAGTCTTCTCATTTAATCCTTTCTGGAGAGGTTGGTAAAGACTTAGATGGTCAATGTTAAGCAAAACAGAAAAGAAGCCGAGTATCCTGACTTTCCCCACTTCTGTCCATGTTACCTTCTTCCCAAATGTAACCTGTGCACAAATGAAGGAATGAATGGACTTGAATAAGTTTTGAAACTTTCTCTTTTCTTTGAAGTCAAGGGTGGACTCAGAACTCTGAAAATAAGATTATCCTACCAATGGACAGACTCTACTTACCTTTTACCACTGAAATAAATGACAAAATCATTTCTAATGTCAAGTTCAAACTGACAGACATTTACTGAGTACCTAGTAAATAAGCCGAGGGTCTGCCCAAGAGAAAATTCTGTCTCTTCTGTGGACAGTTGCGTTCTCCTGAGCTCCCCATTAGTCACTCAACAGCTGTTTAAAGGAAGGGAGGGAGGGATATTTTGATACCAACAATCTGAGGTGTTACATGCACTTAGCCTTACAGAGAATGGTTATGAGGCACATTCAAAAGAGAGCTTGTGGGAAAAGGTGAGTACATTTAATATTACAGTATTAATCAATTAAGATGCGAACGAATACCCTCATGATAATCATTATGCCTTGCATCTGGAAGACATACTGGTTTTCAGAAGTTCGAGTGTTTGCCTCAACGATAAGGGAACTGAGGCATTGACTCCAAGCCAAGACTAAAAATCAAGGTCCATCCAAACTTCCCTCTCAATGGTCGTTCCCAAGAGCAAAGCATGTGTAATACACAGGATGTGGAAGAATGAAATAAAAATCAGTGCACAGAGCCCAATTCTTATGTAATGGTTAATAGCAATAAATAAATGTTTAAATTGGTAACTACTTGTGCATTTATTTTCAAAAACTAACTAAAAGAGTCACGGGGGAGCGGGGGAGCGTAAGATGCTATTGGAAACTGACTAGGAATGCTTTTAATGCTGAAAATCAAAGAAAATTTTTTTAAATAATGGCCAAAAGGATGGAAAAAAAAATGTTTACAGAGTCCATGCGTGTGCCCTGAGCAGCATCTCTTCTCACTGCTAACATAGCTTTTATGAAGAAAAATGGACAACTACTGTGTTTCCTTAAAGACCATGAGAACAGTGCTACAGAATGAATTTCCACAGAATGAATTTCCACTTGGGTGTTGTCCCAAGAAAGCATAGCGTCAACTGTATCAGCATCTGGGCCCGCACATCTAAGGCACAGCTCTCATCTCCCCCGTCTCCGTCTCCCACTGTCATATTTTGCCTACTTATAATTTTTTGTTGAGGTTTCAGTGATACTTAACATTTAATTGTTTCGTTTTTCATTGAACACAATCTCACAGCCTCTTCACATTCCTTGTGGAAAAACAGGGAATGTGCACAGAAAAGTAAATATATATTGGCTTGGAAGTTCCTGGCAAGACTTTTGGATAGACTAAGGAAGCGTTTCAAAGTTCATCACTGGGCTGGTCTAGCAGCGGAGTCACGATCAGAGATACCACTGATGGCTTTTCAATCTTAGAGAGAAGGGCAGAGTCTTCCATCTTCAAAGTTGACATGTTTTTAAAGAGATCAAGTGTGTCACCTGAACATATGGGCAATTGTTTTAAGCATCTCACGAAGGTCAAATACACAGACAAGGCTGAGCAAACGAGCCTTGGCATGGAAGCCTCAGACTTCATTCAAGCAATTACGTTTCCAAAGATCATTCTCCCCTAAATGTACACCCTTTTTAAGACTACAAAAAAGTCGAGAAAATCAAAGGGCTTTGACCACTGACAGGATATCTCCTTTAGAAAAGAGCAAAAACTTTTAAAATTTTTTTGTTTGAGTTTTTTTTGTTGTTGTTATTATTTTGTTTGTTTGGATTGGGGGGGGGTAAAATCTGTGCTTGTCATTTGTTTCTAAGTCCTTTGTCCGTTTCAACAAGCATGAACCAGGTGCTTGCATACTGGTGCTGAGGGAAAAGATAGGAGCAGACCATATTCTCAGTCCTCGAGGAGGTCAGCCGGGAAAGTGTTGGCTCCAGGTGGCTGTGCAGCGGGAAGGGCACGCGGGGGCGGATTCCATGCAGACTGGTGTTAGGTCTAGGATGACTTCCTTGAGATGAGTCAAGTAAACCTCAGAGAAGCCAGAAACCATCTGGCCATCCGGGGGTGTGCAGAGGGACAGTGATTGCCAGGCAGGGAATGAGAAAATGCAGCCTGGGTCAGGAAGCATTTCTTTGTACATTTCTCATCCAGGCAACTGTGACTGAAGAGGAGGAAGGTGAGGAGAGTGGCCCCGGAGGAGGGTGGGAAGCTATCACAGACGGACTTGTTAAGAATTCGGACTTATCCTGAAGACACTGGGAAAAACATGGAAAGATTTAAAGCAGAATGGGATACAATGTATTTTAGGGAAAAAATCACTCTGTATGAAATAGAAATGGCAGTTGGGATCAAAGAGGCCATCTGGGAGGCCATTCCAGGGGGCTGTGTGCCAACTGAGGAGACGAGCAGGGTCCATGACCCCCGCACTCAGCTCTCCAAGCCCTCCATCCTGGAGTGGGGGTTTCATCCTACAGGAAGGGGAGTCTTGATTGTCCCACGAAAGTGTGCTCTGCAGTCCAAGCCCTGAATGAAGTGCCACCTCCACCCAAATAAAGGCCCCTTTTTCTAATTCATAAACTCAGGAAGCGCACTTTGTTCTAATTCACACAAAGACAGCAATATAAGTGGCCTTCTGGCTTATGATTATTTAAGTGAGAAATAATAAGGTCCTAAACTCCAGTTTAGGGTTATAACTAAGCTCTGCTCTGGCACTGATGACAGGAGACTGGGTAGTGATGGAAACCAGTGCACTTCCAATGTCAAAAGCCTTCTTGGCCAGCTGTCTTCTTAACCAGCTCTTGATCCTACAGCCCCTGTTCTGGTTCATGTTTCCAGCACTGGAGGACCTCAAAACCCCAGAATCAGCTTTGACCCTTCCTTGGCCCCAATCACTGAAGCTTTGCAGGACTGTCCTGCAGTACAGCTCAGACTTCCCTCCACTTTGCTGTTCCTATTGCTTCCGACCCAAAGTCCTTATTGCTGCTCACTTGAACTTGTAGATTGAACTTCCGTTCTCTTTGAATTCCAACTCGATCTGCTTTGGCAGGCTCTTTATTTTTTATTTTTTTTAATTTATCTCTATTGTTGAAAGTATTACAGATGTCTCCCTTTCCCCCCCCCCCACTGATTCCCTCCATCCTGCGTACACCCTACTCCCCACATTATAGTCTGTGTCCATGGGTTATGCATATATGCATATAAGTTCCCTGATTAATCGCTCCCCACCCACTCCCCTACTCCCACCTTCCCTCTGAGATTCCTCAGTCTGCTCCATGCTTCTGTGTCTGTGGATCTATTTTGTTCCTCAGTCTATTTTGTTCATTAGATTCCACACATGAGTGAGATCATGTAAAACTGAATCAGGAAGAATCAGAAAACCTGAATAGGCCAATAACAATGGATAAAATTGAAGCGGTAACCAAAAACCACCCAGAAACAAAAGCCCTGGTCCAGACGGCTTCACAGGGGAGCTTTCTAATTCTTTAAATTGTAGGGTTAGATAGTTTATTAAAAATTTTTCTTGCTCTTTGAGGTAGGCCTGCAGTGCTATGAACTTCCCTCTCAGCACTGCATTTTTTTTTTTTTTTAATATATCTTTATTGATTTCAGAGAGAGGTAAACAGAGGGAGAGAGAGAGATAGAAACATCAATGATGAGAGAGCCAATGATCGGCTGCCTCCTGCATGCCCCCCACTGGGGATCGAGCTCTCACTCCTGGCATGTGCCCTGACCAGGAATCGAACCCCAATCACCTGGATCCTAGGTTGATGCTCAACTTTTAAGCCACGCCAGGTCGGGCTCAGCACTGCTTTTGCTGTGTCCCATAGATTTGGAGTGGTTATGTGTTCATTTTTATTTGTTTCCAGGGAGTTTTTGATTTCTTTCTTGATCTTAATGGTAACCCATTCATTGTTTAATAACATGCATTTCCAGCCTTATCTCCCTGGCAGATAAAAACCCTGCTTCTTTTCAGAGCCAGATGTTATGGGGGCACCTTTCTCAGTTCTGGTGCTCTGGGCTGGGGCGCCCAGCTTGGGGTTTACACCCGAGAGTCCTCAGTGGGAACCCCCCAGAGCCAAGATATCCCTCTGGACCTTCAGCTGTTGCCTGTGGGAGCCAGGCCAGCCCTCTTGTGCCTCCACACTTCCTACCAGTCTATGTAGTCTCCACTTTTTGTCCTTGGTTATGAGGATTCTCTTCAGCTAGTCTTCAGATGATTATTCAGGTTGGTTTTCCTATATTTTAGTTGTAATTCCATTTTGGTCCTGGGAGAGTGTCAGTGTAGCTTCCACTTAATCTGCTGCAGTCTTGAAATCACCCTTGGCAGGCTCTTTAAACCCAGTGATGACCAAGATCCTACCAAGGACCTCCATCTCAGAGAGGGCAAAGTTGAAATTCTTCAGTGTGACATTCAAGTGACTCCATCATTCAACCCCCAATTTCCTCTCCAAACTTATCTCCCTCTTTTTCCTGATTATTTCTGACAGTCACTTTGCCTCATATATTCTTATAATCCATCTCTTATGATCAAAACCCTACACACTCACCCTTTCCAGGAAGGGTTGGCTGCTTTGTAAGATTGTGAGCTTGCATTGTTCCAGGGAATTCTAGCATTGGGTATGGAATTTGTAGAATTAGTAGTTCCC